GAAATATGAAACAAATAAAATAAAATACATATAAAGCAGAACACAGCTAAATGTGTCAAAAGTATGTCAATGTGATAGAATTTTCTGAGACAATGAATTTTGGTTTTTCATTTTTTTCCCGTAAGAGGTTTTTATTTAATAGAATTTTTAGACAAAAAAAATCGCAATATATCGCCTTGCTTACAGTATCGCAATACATCGGGATATATCGTATCGTGACCCCTCTGTCATGATATGTATCGTATCGCCAAATTCTTGCCAATACACATCCCTACTTTTCAGTGCACTGAGTTTTTAGTTATCCTGCATGTTTTGCTAGTTTCTCTGCTTCAAAACACCTGATTAAGTGACTGAATTACCTCTTCAAGTTCTGCAGAAGCCTGTTAATCACCCATTCATTTAAATCAGGTGTGTTTGAACAGAAACACCTCTAAATCCTGCAGGATAGTGGCCCTCGAGGACAGAATTCACTGTTTTTTCTGGGTTGTAGGTTTAAAAAACTGGGAAACTGGTGTACAGTATTATGGGACGCTAAATCAGAAATATATTTATATATTGTGTATAATTAGAAAATAAAGCAATTATTTAATCATGCTTTGTGATGTTTTAAACAAATGGTTAAAAGAATTGTGCTAAATTGACTAATATTATTGTCACAGCCTGTAACACCATCTGGCATGTGTGGGCTTGTTTACAAAACAGAAATTAGAAGACAGTCTTGATTTTTTTTTTTATTTTTTATGCAGAAAGTCCACGTTTACATTATTGTGATTATATCTGCTAGTTTTGGTTTAGGCTTTATTTAAAGTTACCAGCTTTCTGGGGCTTTCCAAGCTGTAGGGCCGAATAAATTGTCTTCGTGGTAACGTTTCTTTTTGTTTCTAATTCAGGTGGTTGAGACTAAAAACGAGTCATCACACGCTGAAACAACGGCGCACGTCAGCAATTCTCCTGTCCTCGCCACCGGCTTCAACAAGAAAACGGACTCTCCCGCTCCTCAAAACCCAAAAGCCAGAACAGACTCCGAGCCGCAGGGAAAACCTGTTGAGCATGAATTGGAAAAGAACACTTTGATCTCCCAACCGCTTGGAGACACAACAGACACGCTACCAGCTGCCTGCATGGCTGCCAGGCAGAGCCAGGCACCGGGTCCGACCCAGAAGCACAGGAGCTGTGACGGGGAGGAGAAGCGGGACCAGTCCAAAGAAGAACCGCCCCTAGAGGAAAGGCAGCTAGAAGGTTAGGGGAGACATTTTTTAAGGAGGCAGTACAGTGAATGCTTGCATCAAATTTACCTTTTACCTAAATCCACCATTTGTTTCCTCTTGGGCCAAAAGTATAAAAACCCTCCACTTTTTTCTGACTGAGGCTCAAACGTATTTGTTGAGCAGTAAAAAGGTTCAGGACGAAGGGATATAAATAAATTAATTAATTAATTTAAAAAAAGACACGAGCAGCAGGTCTGCCTCAGTAGGGGAGGAGGGAGGCTGCTTCAGAACCGTTTACTGGGTCGAACAATGTTTTAGT